TCACAACGACTTCCTAGGATAGTGAGAACCCAGTCAACGCTTCATGATTGATCCCATATAAGTGACTTAAAATATCAGATTGATTCCCAAAGTGGAAAGGAAGCAAAGCAGAGAGGATACAGAGGTAGCAATGGGAGTGGTGCTTAGACATGGCAAAGATCTATGGGAAAGAACTGATGAAGAAAATCATAGTTCACAAAGGCCTTGGGCTGTGTAATGAAGACACCACACATCTTAAGAATTCTGGAGCATTTTTCTTAATATCAACTCTTTCCCTGACAATAACCTCTTTCCTGGATCCTTATACGACTTCAAATCTTTAATATCACAATGATAGTTACAAAAAAAGAGCTGTTTTGTCTTTCCCTTACCTGTGTAGTTTCAGATTTTTTTTATAGAGTTGGGCTAAAAAAAAATATCACATTTGGAGAATGTCACCTGCCATTCTGTATTCTAAAATGAACTTTTCCAAACAGAAGTTTCAAAATGATTCACCTGTTAATTGACCAGTGACATGCCTTGTTTTTAAATATAGAATTTTCTTTATATGAGATATTGCAGCATAACATTCGTGAGCATGGTTGGGGGGAGGACCCTTGGCCATATTGCCTTGTCTATGTTTTAGTTTCTTCACTGGTAAATGGGATAATGCTGCTGACTTCAGAGGACCATGATAAAGGAAAGTGATGTGGCCTATAAAAGCTTTCAGAGAGGAAAGTGATGACTTAGCAGAAATAGTGCTCCAAGTAAGGCAGCTGGATCTACAAGCCCTTAAGTTAGCCCCGCATAGGCAATGGCAGTACACACACTAGTGATTATTCAGATTTGTGATACAACTGTGCTTTGCATTTACATACGACTCTTCCTTTTCTAAATGCTTTGATTTAATGGTAAATTTAGTCCTCAAATGATTTCTTGTAATAAACAAAACATTTCACTACAATTTATCAGTGAAGAAATTTTGGTCAAGTGGTGGTACTGACACCAAGGTCTGCTCACAAGCAGCCAACGCTTCCCTGGCTTTTTGGATCCAGGTCAGCCCCAGTCCCTTAGCTGTTTCCATAATGCTACCCCTCTCTCAAGTCTGATATTGATAGACTTCAAAAACCTTGAAAAGTGCTGGCATGTTTCATAAACCTAAAACCACCTTCCCCTCCCTTGTCCTCTGAGCCTTTATTCATGGGGTTTATGTTTCGTCAAACAAAAAGAATTAGGTGATAATAGTCTTCAATGTTGCTATGCTCTCCAAAGAGTTCAAAACATACTGTTTGTGGTCAATCCACAGTATCACCTCCCATTCTCTCGAGAGTGAAGGCATAGAAGTCGAGTTTCAGTACCGTGGTAGACCGCTATTCACTGCTGTGACCAAAATACCTGATACAAATAATTCAGAGGAAGAAAGGTTTATTTTGAATTGAGGTTTCAGTCCATGTTTGGCTGGCTCCATTGCTTTGGGCCTGAGATAAAGCAGAACCACGTGGCAGAGAGCTGCAATGAAGGAAAGCTCTCAGCTTGTGGCAGCCATGAAGGAGAGAGAGAGAGAGAGAGAGAGAGAGAGAGAGAGAGAGAGAGAGAGGAAGATGAAAGGGGCAAGATACAGTCCCCAATGGTGCCCCCACCCTGTTACCTACTTCCCTCCACCATGCCCCACTGCCTACAGTTACCACCCAGTGGTTCATTCAAATTATTAATCCAGCAAATGGGTTGAGCCTTTGGTGAGGTTTCAGGCCTCAGGATCCAGCCAAAGCCCCAACTCTGCACAATGCTGCAGTGTCTCTAACACATGCACTTCTGAGGAACATTCCAGATCCAGACCATAATACCCACCTCACCTGTGTACCAACAGCATGGAATAAAAGCTCATTTATACATGTTGATGAAACACACACATATTCATATGTACATATGTCTTAGCTTTATGACATCATATGTAATACATATTTGTATATAAAAATTAAAATTTATACTATATAATAATGGAGTTTTAAGCTTATTTGTGTATATATCTATTATATATGTATATATATAATCATCATTAAAATGAGGCTTTCTCATCTATGACTGGAGATAATAATAATAACTACTCCGTAAATTATTGGAGAAATAAATGAATTAATATGCATAAAATACTTATAATGTTTCCTAGCATATAATACACAAGAAATATTAGCTAGCTGTAATTATCATTTATTTTATCTTATAAAAGTATTCTTCACTTGAAGACATTATTCACCAGACTGTCTTAAATATGTAATTTCTTCAATGAACCAATATTTTAAAACTATCAATGTCTATTTTTCAATGCAGCTTTGAGGAAAAAAAATATTTTTACCATAAAGTGGCATATCATGTTCCTTAGGAGACACTCATGATGTGAGTAATGAGTGTATATTATAATACACAGAAATCACAGACCCCTGAAGAAGTAAAAGCAACCTGAAATTCAGAACCTACCCAACAAGTATTTCATAGCATAAGACCTCATTTCTGTCCTCACTTCCTGGGCTATAAATAAGCACTTACTGTTTATTTACTGAAATTGATTCATTCTCAATTATGACTGTTTAATTCAATGATTTTTCCAGAAATAATGGCCTTGGGAAAGATTTAACTGTGTTTACCTTTGTTCTGAGCTCTAGCACAATCCTTCAGAAGAACTTGCATGCCCTCAGCCCACAATTCTAAAGTCATTCTTGGCTCTCCAGGGCATCCCTGTCTTAGCATAGACAGGACTGATGGGCAGGGCAGGACCAGCTGACCTCCTCTCAGCCACAAGCCCCCAGAATAAGGACAACCACCCAGGGCAGCTCATTTCACTTCTCCTAGGAAGAATGGGATCTTGAAGGGCTTCTTTCTGAGTTCTGATTCTTTCCTTACTTATTTGATAACAAATTCTTAAGTTCAACCCACGGGTGTTCGCAGACTTGGTATGTTCAGAATAGACTTTTGAACAATGTTCTCTCAGCCATTTTCTCAGGTGTGTTCTACAGGACAGTTGGGCTGCTAGACACTGATATGTGTTACTTTTTATTTATTTATTTATTTTTTAGTTGCAGTTGGCCACAATATCTTTATTTTATTTGTTTACTTTTATGTGGTGCTGAGGATTGAACCCAGGGCCTCGAATGTGCTAGGCGAGCACTCTACCACTGAGCCACAATCCCAGCCCCATTGTGTTACTTTTTAAAAATACAAAGATGTGTACAAACACACACACACACACACACACACACACACACACACACACCAGGGTTCCTTGATTTAAAAAAAATTGGGAATAACTGGGCTAAGCAGAGCTTATTAGAATTTTCATTGTGGAAATTCTCAGAGATCTGATGTATTACTATGACTGCGGGAGGGAGCATGGTGGGCCTCATCTCTCACATGTATTTATCTATAGAATTTGCATCTCACAACATGTCCTTCCATAATAGTTTCTGTGGAACACACTTTGGGAAATTGCTTTCGAATATGTTGTACCACACAGGTTACATCTTTTGCCTGTATCCCTTTTCTCAATTCTGAACAGACCTGCTTCTTCTGCAATGCATTGTCAGCAAGTTCATTAATTTGCATTTCTACAGCTAAGGAAATCCATCTACTATATCAAATACTTTTTTCTGTCCCTGAAATTAACCTTTCTGAATTTTTGGCTAATTGTTTCAGAATCACCTGAAGCAATGATTTTTTGGCCTGACAAAGAATTCATTGTTTCAACTCATAATCAAAGATCAAATTAAAATATCCCAGGAACAAAATTCTACATAAATAGAATCAGTTTGCCCATACACCTTTCTCCAACCTGATGACGTGAAGTTGAACCATGTCATTGTACCATGAACTCTGGTGAGCAGATGCCATTTATTAGGTACTTGGAGAATTTCCAGCAATCACCTTCAATAGTCTGTACATTCTCTTATAACAAAACTATGCTAGCAGATATAATAATAAAAGTAAAAGCACTAAACCCATATTAATCAAGAACAAGCAAAGCTCTAAAGTTTGGGTGTTACACTTTTCTTTACAAATGCCAACATATAAGGATATTCAAATTTTCATAACAATCTATTCCAGAAACAAATTTAAACCTGAAGGCTTAAATATAAATATAGCCATCATATATATTTTATATACACATATATACTTATATGTATATATAGATTATATAAAAATATATATCAAATGTATAAATTTGATTGGAAGAAAAAATAATGTAATCATTAAGATTTTTACAACTTTAGTATATCAAACTCTATAATCCAAGCCTGCAGGAAATTGTAAGAAACTTGAATACAGAACTACATATGGATCTATTGTTTATATCGATTCCTGTTTCTCTCTGAATATTTAAAAAGAAAAATAAAATGCTATGCTGAAAGAGAAAAACTAATCCCATAAAACCATTTGATAAAGTTGGTCTCAGCATTACAACACGATGAAAAGCTGCTATATTAAGATATTAAATCAACCAAAATTTCAAAATTTTTGCTAAGAAAGATCATTGACAATACATTCCATGAGCCACCCTGGTATTTTTGACTACAAATTACAAAGTTGGAATCTTCTTTACATTCGACTTACTTCCAAGTGTTCAACTTACTTCCCAGGCCCCAAATCAAGATCCAGCTTCAGGTTTCTACCATAAAAACCTGAATATTGCCTGAAGAATCTCCCTTAGGCTCATCAGGAATAATCAAATTTCATGTGAGCCATTAAATCACAGACATTCAATTATGTTTTTCAACCCTCTGTTTCGAGATGCTAAAGGCCCTTGGAAAGCATCCTTCCACCGGAGCCCAAGTTGGCAAGTGAGACCGGTTACCTGCAAAAGCCAGACAAAGAGGTGGACCCTTGCAGTCCCGGTAGGCACATTGCAAAGTGGCACGCGGTGTACCCCATCCCTATTGTGCGGCACAAATTCTTTGTAACACTGGGAGACACTGCAGAACAAAAATACTATTAGAAATGCTTCAAAAGGAACATTTTTTGGCGGCGATAGAGACTTTTGACATTATTTATTAGGTTCAAAAATGCTTCACAAAAGCCTAACAATGGTTCTGTGGAAACCAGTGCATCTGAGGCCCTTTCTGTTGTTCCGGGCAGGCATTGATTTGAAGATGGGCAGCGGTCGCGGAACAATTCCCTCGCAGCGGTCAGCGTAAGTGAGCATTCACCACCGGCCTCGGGAAAGCCTGTGAACAAGCCGTATGGAAAGGCCGGGGCGGGCGGGGGGGTGCCGCGGTGCAGACCTTTATTAACCTCTTGGAGTGGAAATGGGTGGAAGCGCCCGCGGGCCCAGGAAGGGGCTCTTCTGCCAGATTGCCCCAGAGGGAGGACAGGGAGGCGTCCGCCCGCAGCCTCGGCTCCTCCGGGACACGAGGATGCTTGGGGAGCATCTCCGCTACCATGGCAACCGCGCCTCTGCCCGCTGCATTTCCGGGAGCCCCTGGGAGCCCTTCGGGGGAATCTGGGTGTGCCCCGAAGTCTACTGTCACCGCCGCCCTCTCCTCCACCCTGGCGCTCGGCGGGGCGGAGCGGCTCCGGGTCCTGCACAGGCCGATGGCGGTGGAAGGTCTCCCCGGGGGACCTGGAAGGCAAAGGAGGGCAGGAGTGGAGGGACCGCAGCGCGCCAGCCCGAGGTCCAGCAGAAACTCCTGCTCAGAGGAGGTTTAGGAATGGACGTTTGTGATGCAGACACACGTTTCTTTAAGAAAAACGAAAAGCAAAAGCAAAAAAAAAAATCAATCAAAAATCAAAAAATGTTGTCTATTCTCTCCTGTTTGAAAGCGTCTACCCCTGCTCCAAAATAATTTTTACACATTTATCAGAAAATTCTTTCATTTCAAGGTAAATTTTTCAAAACTTCTAAGAAGTGTGTGTTGCGGGGTGGGGGTGGTGGTGACTAAAATAGAGCATCCACTTCTAAATTTGGGAAAAGTTGAAGAATGGGAAAGGAATATGTTGTGGTTAGATATCGTGCAAAACATAAAAGGGTGTGTGGCCCATGTAGGCTGAAGAATGATGATTTTTAAAGATCCAAAAGGAAGTTACTTCGTGGATTTTATTAAAAATTATAAACCAGCTGAAAATTAAACAGTGGATTAACCTGAAGCTATTACACAACACACATGTACATACTAACAGTAATAATTGCAACCTTGATTTTGTTCCAAGCAAAGGAATACACATAGACACATAAGGATCTGCGATCAGAGTCAATCCTGGCATATCACCTGGCTTAAGCACCTCAGTCCTTACACAAAACATAGAGATCACGTTACCTAATTCACTTTTGGTCTATATGATCCTCCTATATTTGTCCACTCACTTATTAATTTATTAATATTTGAATGCCTGATATGTGCCTGGCAGTAATATCGTCACATTAGTGATTCAGAAGGAAATAAGGCAGACAAGATCCCTGAAGAGGGAAAAGGACTCATAAATAAGTAAATAAACAAATTTGTAAGTGTTCACTGGTAATAAAACCTGTGAAGAAAAACAAAGCAAGACAAGATTAGAAAATACCTAAGTAGCTAATATCTATCTCACTAAAGATTTTTTTTAAAAAATGAAAAACAAGACCTCTTAGGTAATAATTGAGGGAAGAACATGATAAAATGTTAAGCATTAAGTACATGGTAAGAACTCCATACCCAAACAACATTGCTATTCTATTTAGAACTTTAATATAGGGATACTCAGACCCACAGTTGGAGTGAAAGGCTTAAATTCTATTTTATCTCTGAAATTACAGAACTCTATAGGTCTCAAATTCTGTATCATAATGAAAGACCTAAGCAAATTCATTCTGCTTGGGATCTTATTTTGCTCTGAAACTTAACCTCTGACTTATTGTAATCCTAAAGTCAAGAAAAAATCTACAGAAAAGCTCTATGGAAACAGTTCAGTTCTCGGAAAAGCCAGAAAAGCCGCAGATAGGCCAAGATAACCACATATCTGAAATTCCAGATGGCTTCCACCTACATGTGGTGACCAGTATTTAAACTAGAAGCCCTGCAGTTTGGCACGTACGCCCCTTGCGACATCCTCACGGTTTAAACCAATCAGTTTAAATGAATCCCCCTCTTGTAGTGACCAATTCCTCCTACCCAACTTGTTCCCGCCAGTGAATGTGCTAATCATGTTTTAGAATTGTTATTTGATTTTCCCGCGGTGTGTGATGATTTGCTAGGAGATGCTGTGATGTATGTGGAGGTCCCTGCCTTCTCCAAAGAATGTATAAAACTGCTGCAAAACCTGGGCTCTGGGCCTCTTAGCGTCACCTGTTGCTGTGTGTGTGTGGAGGACCGAGCTAGCTTGCAATAAACACCTCTTTGCTGCTTACATGGATCTTGGGTCTCTGGTGGTCTTTTGGGGGTCCCGAATTCGAGCATAACAATAACAAGAGAAAATAACAGTTCTTATCTTAGAGGAGGATTATATAGACCAAAAATGAAAATGTACAGTTATATTTTAATATTTTGCCTTCTACATAGTAAGACTCAAAAAAATGCTCATTAACTAGCATCTTTCTTCTTTGTATTAAGTCAAAATTTGTCCCTCTCTTCTTTGAGTCAAATACAACCAACTGTGCAAATATTTGAAGTGAAATCTACTTCAAATTTTCCTTTAGAACAAAACAGACTACACAATATCAGCCTAATCCTTCGACTTGAAAGTTCCTAGATATTTGGAGAGAGGCATAGTTTACTTTCTTTTTGTCTCTCCTCAGGTATCAGAAACGCTACCATCATCACCACCACCATTCAATCCCTACTATGTTCAGGGAACTTCATTTATATCAATCCTCTAATTACAACAGCTTTTCAAAGTAGTAATTGTCATTAGTTTACAAATAAAAAAAAAGAAAGAAAAAAAAAGGTAGCCAAAGAACACAGGTGGGACTTTGTGGTGGCTACAGAACTGAAATGGGAGATCCCTGAGACTGGGCCCAAGATCTTCCTGTCTCAAAGCCCTGTCCTTCTTGTCCATTTCCTTACTTTTAATGATTTCTCTTACTATTACATATTATTTCAAGGCACTTTATTACCATACCCATTACCTCAAACTATGAATTCATGGCTTCCTTAACTGTAAAACAGGAATAATAACATTATTATCCACCTAAGTGTTCTATGAGGATTTCATAAAATAATGTAAAATGTTCAGCAGAGAGCCTAATCTATGATTAGAACTAAAAAAATCGGGCTGGGATGATGATAATAACTGTCATTATTATCTGGTACAACACCTGAACCATCAAATTACCTGTCATCAGTTCAATCATGTACTCTCCTCCAATACAATAATTGACAAAAAGTAGACTCTCAATGCCGGGCACGGTGGCACACACCTGTATTGCCAGCGGCTCAGGAGGCTGAGGCAGGAGGATCGCAAGTTCAAAGCTAGTCTCAGCAAAAGTGAGATGTTAAGCAACTCAGTGAGACCCTGTCTCTAAATAAAATATAAATAGGGCTGAGGCTGTGGCTCAGTGGTTAAGTGCCTCTGAGTTCAATCCCTGGTACCCTCCCCGAAAAGTAGACTCTAAGGACTTTCTGGTACAGTTCTTATTGTACCTTCTAAGATATGACCTGCCAGTGGTTCAATAAATTTTTTTGTTTATATTGAAATCAAAACGTGATAGGTTGCAATAAGAAAAGAAAAGCTAGGAACCAGATGATACTTACGAGAATTTCCCTTGGAATCGCTCAAAGACTGGTTTTGAAGTCTCGTGTGTCTACTAGTAGCCTCCAAGTACACAGGATGTTCTGAGTGTGGTAGACTGGGTTTATTTGCCATTTTTGGTGCGAAAAATGGGATGCTCCAGGTCTGCTTGGAGGTTTTGCTGATTGTCTTTGGAACTTTCTCCCGGAGCATCAAACTCAGTGAATCCTCATCCCTTTCACCACATGACGCTGGGGTGGAACAGGCTTCTTGGCGGTTTTCTTCTTCAAAAGAATCTGTGCTCACAGAAGACCTGGGGATGATGGGCTGGCAAGTATGAAGCAGTCGTTCACATGTCACTGGACTCTGAGTTCTTTCTGAAAATATTGCAAAAGGTAAATACATTAGTTTGAAAGAATGCGCTTCATCATCACTTTCAGAAAGGATGAAATGCGGTCCTGTGGATTTTTGTTGGTTTGTTTGTTTGATGCTTCTACCATGAGCAAATAAAAATGACCAAGACAGAGACTAAGGTACTTGCATGGGAGAAAAAGAGGAGGTATGAAGAAGGTGGTAAAGGGTGGAGAATGCTTTTGCTGAATTTGAGCTATATTACAGGCACCACGTTGAGATCCGTGCTTATCATCTAGTTCTCAAAAAGCCATAGCTAGCAGAGATAATAATCTCCATTTTACAAGTCAGGGAGCTGATTTGAGGCTTATGAGCTGAATTGTGTCTCCCCTAAGAGACCTGTTGAAGTTGTAACCGGAAGTACCTGTACATATGACCTTGTCTAGGAAGAAGGCCTTTGAAGAAGGAACCAGGCTAAGACAAGTTCATACTGGATTGGGCTCACCTTTCTTATCCTCATGAGAAAACTCACACACACACACACACACACACACACACACACACGTAAAGACACGGACACACAGGAAGAAGCCAAGGGAAAACAGAGGCGGGGACTGGAGATGTGCTGCCCAAAGCCAAGGAACACTTGTGTTACCAGATGCTACAAGAAGACTCCTCTCCTGGGAGCTCAGGGGGGGACACACAGCCATACCAACACCTCGTGTTTCAGTTTCTGGCCTCCAGAACTAAAAGAATGTATTCTTCTGTTTCAGGCCACTCTGCTTGTGATCATGTATTAAAATAACCCAACATAGACTTAGAACAGGTATCTGGTCCAAGATGACACAAATATTAATTAGCAGATTTGGAACTTGAATTTAGATCCCTCTGCCTCACAGCCCAGTCCTGATTCTCAAGACACTCTGCTGGATGCCCTTCAGAAGACCAAAACCAGGCTTATTGCTTAAAACTGCTCTAGAATATTGTGAAGAAGCCAGTGACAAACTCTACCTCCCACTTTTAGTTCTTATCCAGCAACTGAGGTGAGTTCCTTCCCCTGATTACTTCCCTTAAGAAACTGATAGCTGCTGTGGCAACGCAGACCGCCTGCGGCTACACCACTCATTCTTTGGTAGAAAATCATCATGAGTAAGAATTCCCAACAGTCAAAGATACTAACAAACAGAACCGATGCAATGCCATGTGTCCCTGTCACAGAGGATGGTGTTTGGAAGATGTAGGAGGAAAGAGAGCTTCATGAGATGGGAGGGAAAGGAAGAGTAAAGGGAAATTGCATGGAAATGAAGGGAGACCCTCATTGCTATACAAAATACATATAAGAGGTTGTGAGGGGAATGGGAAAATAAACAAGGAGAGTAATGAATTACAGTAGATGGGGTAGAGAGAGAAGATGGGAGGGGAGGGGAGGGGGGATAGTAGGGGATAGGAAAGGTAGCAGAATACAACAATTACTAATTGGGCATTATGTAAAATTGTGGATGTGTAACCGATGTGATTCTGCAATCTGCATTTGGGGTAAAATTGGGAGTTCATAACCCACTTCAATCTAATGTATGAAATATGATATGTCAAGAGCTTTGTAATGTTGTGAACAACCAATAAAAAAAATAAAATAAAAAAAAAGTGAAAAAAAAAAAGAGGTAGCTAAGAATCAACATTGGCTTCTTAGCCAATTGGTAACGGGTTGGTTATGGAGGGAAGAGATAGGCAGAAAGAGGGAAAGAGGGGAGAAGAGTTCTCTGGATTGTACAGCTGGGTGGTATAAGGGTGTGTGTGTGTGTGTGTGTGTGTGTGTGTGTGTGAGAGAGAGAGAGAGAGAGAGAGAGAGAGAGAGAGAGAGAAGGGAGAGAGAGAATATAGGCTTAGAATTTGAAAGCACTGAGGTCTCTTTGGGAGGGAGGAGTGTTGTGAAGTTGAGGAGAAGAGACAAGATTTATTTGCCTTTATTATCAAATCGAAATCTTTTTGAGACTGCCTCTTTCATGGAATCAGAAAATGAATCCTGGCTGGTCTCTAAGATAAGTGCAAGTTCTGGAGTTTGGTGAACTAGGTTTGAATCCTGATTTCTACAAATTACAGGTGTGCAGCCCTAAAGGAAAAATGTTCTTAGTTTTACCCTCCTCATTCATTAAATGGCATAATCATATTTACGTTTTAGGAATATTATAAGGAACAGATTAGATAATGTAATAAAGCAGAGCAGCTGGGGTTGTGGCTCAGTGGTAGAGTGCTCACCTAGCATGTGCAAGGTCCTGGGTTTGATCCTCAGCACCACAATAAAATAAAATAAAATAAAGATATTGTGTTCAACAATAAAAAAAAGATACAAAATTATACAATTTTTCTTTTTAAAATGAAAAGAATAAAGTTGGAAGAAAATGAACCAAATGAAAAGTTATTTCTCAGTGGTCTAATTCAAACTTCAAAATTTTTATGTAATGTTCAAGTTTTATGCATTATTCTTACGATTCAGAAGACACCCTTAATTAGACAAAAAGGAGAAGACTTTAGAGCGTTAATGTGGTTTAGCATTCCTACTGTGCACTTATTTCATCACCTAATAGTGACATGAATGAGATTTTCCATGGAGGGAGCAGAATAACAAGGAGAAATTTCCAGATCTGCCTGGTAGGGCATAGACCAGACCAGTGTGGACAAATGAAGGGCAATTTGCAGGAGGTATTGGGCCTGTAGTTATGTGACCCAATTGACCTAGTTTTTTTGTTTGTTTGTTTATGGCTTCGACTGTGTCCCCTAAAGAAATGTTCAAATCCTAATCACCTGTATCTGTGAATAGGACCTTATTTGGAAATAGGATATTTGCAGATATAATCAATATGAGATCATTATGGTAGTCCTTAATCCAATATGAATGGTATCCCATGAGGAGACCAGAGACGCATTCGTGAGAAGACCCATGGGAAGAGGGAAACAGAGGAATGTCAAAGCCAAGAAATGTCAAAGATTACCAGAAGCCTCCAGGAGCTAAGAGAGAGGCAATGAACTGATTTTCCCCACAACTTCCAGATGGAACCACTGCTGCTGACACCTAGAGTCTGGACTTCTGGCCTCAAAACTGTAAAATTAATTTTTGTTATTTTAGCCATCCAGTTAGTAGTACTTTGCTATAGGAGCCCTAGAAAACCATTGAACCAGAAGAGCGCGGATTTGCAATGTTGTCCAAGAGCAATTATTCACAACAACAACACTTTTTACCAAAAATAAAAAGTATGCAGATTGGGGGGATAGAAAAGAGAAAATCCCAAGATGTCATAGGTATAGAATGAGAGGAAGAAGACATTGGCCATATTGAGTTATGTTATGGGGGGGAAAAACTGTGGCAGAGTATACGGCTGGGAACAAGACACACTTTCCCTGTGTTCAAGGTACAAATGACAAAGAGGGTGCTGGTCACACTGGATGCCAGTGCATACTCCTCCTAAAGCACAGTCATGTCTGCAGAGGACACTCAAAACAGCTCCAGAGGCCAGGCAGAGAGCCATAATGAGAGAAGGGCCAAGAAGGATATTCTGGAGCTATGTCACATTAGAAGGGCCCCAATGCTGTCTGATTCTGTCCTTTATTGCCATAAGGAAATGTGAGTCTAGTGTAAATAGATGTTCTGAATTTTCAGGAGAAGCAGAAATCTTTCTATGTATGTTAACTGGTTTTTAAATGTTGGTGACTGTTCAGTCTTTTCAAATATATAGTGTGACATACACAAAACACAACTCCTCTCCAAATAATCACAGGCCACCAGTTTGTGTCTTTGACCCAAGGTCGGCTGTATCAAAGCCACATCGTTATTTACTTCCTTCTGTAACATCTTCACCTCAGAACATGGTTTTATAAATATTCAGTCTGGGCTAGTGAAAGTGCATTTGCAAGCCCCATGTGCAGCAGCTTTTAGAGCTCTAGAAATCTGGTCTACCTCCAACATTTAATTTTAAAGCCCATGATTTGAAAAGGTAGACAAATTTATAAATCTTTCCCAAATGTAGAGAAACTTCAGAGTCCTTCAAAATAGAAGCACTGGATCTTGTGATCCCAAAGGAAAAGATTATTAGAACCAATGGTCAACATTATTAGAACCTTGTTCAGGTGTTCAAAACCTGGGAAGAGGATGAAAGGCCTGAGGCTCTTTATATATCTTTATGTTCCAGAAGATATGGGTTCAGAGAGACCTTAAAGGTTATCAGAGGCTGAGCCCCATCACCTTCAACATCCACTTCTGTTATAATATGTCCAGGGGATTAGATCTTCAGAACTTTGTAGCAAAGATTTCACAGCTTGTCCGAAGAGCAAAAAGTAACTTCATATTCGCAATATTTGGTTTTTAATTTACCAGCCAATATAGTGACAAATCTTGAGCCAAAACCCATGGCCCATGACTTAATATCCAGTCCTTCTTATTAGGTCACACTTCTCCTCAATCTAATTCACCACTGCACGGCCCTGGCTGCACATTAGACAATACCTGACATCCTTTCAAAAACACGGTCACCTGGTCCCACCCCTGACCAACCCAGTTAGATGGCACCCAAGTATTCAAACATTGTAAGCCCTTCAGTGATTAAAGGGTAATAGACAGTCCCTGGTCTCAGTCATTCAGCAGGATTCCAGCACTGTTACTCAGGCCAACTATCATGAGCAAGAGTTATAAAGTCAGTAATGTCATTGTTCCCAGATCTCTCTCCACAGATTGTCCTCATTTCAGAATCCAGCAGTGTATTTCTCCTCACAACTTGCATCTTCCTTTATAGTTTATTTGTTTTTACACCAGTGATTACAAAAACTCTCTGACTTACTCATTTTACTGAGGAAAAAAATCAAGACCCAGACAGAGTAAATGTCTTGTCTATACCACTAGTCAACCTAGGATTCAGACCCAGGACTTAGAATTCTGCAGAAATTTTGTTTTCTTACGATATAATCAATGCTAGTGGTGTTAGAAGTCACAGGACTTCCATGAACTGGGCTTGATGAAACACGCATGAAGAACAGC